ACCCAGTGTTTTGAATGGTTCTTCTCGTCCGCCTGAACCCGGAGATGTTGTTCCGATGACCCTACCGCCGGCGCACCGGACTCCCACCCACGACGACGCGTAGAGGCCAGATCTAATGGGCCATTCCTTGGCCTGTAACCCTAATGAGGATTGAGGATCTCAACTGGAATAAAGAAAGCCACTCTTGACCAAATCGAAATTCGCTCCTCTGGACTATAGTGAGCAGCCCAACAGAAGGAAGAACAAAGTTGAAGAAATGAAACGACCCTACTCCTTCGATCCGCCATTTTTTCTGCTCAGACTCCATCGAGCTTCAGGGGGAACAATTTTTTAATCTTAATTAACTTAAGAAAAAAAATTAGGTGGAAAAAAAAAAGTGTCCACGTCAATAAATTTGAGAGAACTTACTATCCACGTAGAAATTTGACTCACACGTAAGAATTTGACCTTCCACGTCAGAAATTAATCCGTCCACGTCAACATCTTATCAATCCATCCTGAAAACTGTACGAAACTTGATTAAAATGGCAACATCGTGGACCTTTTTTGAATACACCCTACATGATGGACCAATTTCGGAAAAGTGCCAACATAGTGGACTAAAATTGAAATTTTGCCGATAATGTAGTAACAAGGAAAGTAGATATCTCCCTTTATATCTTCCCTTATGTGCACATCCTTTCCAACCAGCGACCAATAAACATATCCTACAAGATATACCCATAATAAGATCATGCAAATATAATGTAACTAAAAATTGAACCGTGCATGATTATATATGAACATAAACATAGGAACTTCCCTGTTTTATATAATCCTTGTTCTCGTAGGAACACATCTTCATATATCCTTGATTTTTGAACCAATGCCAAACTTATATCTTTCACCAATTATTTTCATTAGATGAGAATGAATTGAAGTATGCTTACACAAATCCCACATTCGATTTGTGTTTCTTTTTTGAATCCCCACCAAAATTGTGTATAATTTATTATTATGTTGAGGTTTTAGGTTTTGATAAATTAAAAAAAAAAAAAAAAAATTATTATCACTTTTTGCATTCATATGGAGTATATATAAGAGAACGGTATGGAACAAAACATTTTGCAAGGAATTTATTATTTTTAGAAGCTTGAGAGTTTATTGATTGTGCGTGTTCACCTAATTGGGTTTGAGTGCAAACTATTTAAATAAAGCCAATAATTAATCTTGTACCCCCAACAAAAATTTCTTACTCGCTCCCCAACACAAAAGATAATACTAATAATGATGGTGATAAAAAGGCCCTAATTAATTAATTAATTAAGTTTAACTTGTACATAAAGCATTGTAAGAATAGAAAACAACCCCTATATTAATATGGTTTCATGCACGATTGCATACTTTAGAGCTTTTGTTTAATTTTATTTTAACAAACAAAATACCATGATTTTATTTTAATTTGACAAAGTAGAAGAAAAGAACACGATAATAAAATCGATCATCTAATCTGATGCCGAGAGAGAGCCGCCACTTATAATATATACACCAAAGATTAGGGTTGGTTTACAAGGAATAACTTCTCTACCAAGAAACTAAGGCTAAATAAGTAAATACACAAAAATACATAACATATCATGTACACTAACATAATTTTTCTTTTAATTAAATCAGATGAAAAGGAATTTATAACAAGACTGCTAATTTTCGTTCTTTGACAATGTTTACTCATGTCATAATAAATCTTGCACAAAATTTCTTATGAGCGAATGTGTAATAGGTTGGTCCATCGGTTCACATTTTTTCAATAAAAAATACATATTAATGCTATGAAATGTCACATTTTTTGTGTATTATTTCACAAGTTATGACATTTCAATGTAAAAATATACATATTTATTAAAAAAAAAATACATGTCTAAGTCGTAACTGTAAGGTTTGCCTAACAGTATGCTTACTATATATAAGCATTTTTCACAAAAAAAAAATATAATTGGATATAAACGTTTTTCAAAACACGCGACTCATTAATTTATTCTCATTTTGTAATTAATTCTCGCCTCTCCATCAAAACAACTCCTAATATAACATACATATTTTCAATAAATTCACTATTCATTCACTTAGATGTTACAAGAAATTAATTTTCTTATTCCATCATTTTATAAAACACCAACTTTTAACTATTATGTTACTAACTAATTCATATATATTGATTTTACATTTTAACATGTTCCTTGTTTCCACGTACCCAAATTGTATTTGTCACAATTTTACTATGGAAGAAAGTGTTTGATATTAAAATATATTTAATCATCCTTAAAAAGGTTATCATTCATGAGATTAAGAAATTAAAAAGAAATAAAAGAGATCAACATGGGTGTTAGTGGAAGAGTTCTTTTATTCCTCAATTCCCGGTAAGTTTTTTTTCTAGTTTTCTAGGTATAAATTAATAAGATCATTCAAATTTTGTCCCATTCTTTGCTTTTACTCTTTCATCTTTCCCTAAAGCTCATTTACTTCATCAAGTTGTCATTCAATATCAATATTATAAGTTATACTAGCATTTGGCTTATATTTGATTCAAAGTAGACTATTTATTATTATTATTAGTTTCTTTTTCTTTCCCCCCCATTGTTCATCAACTTTATAGTTGTAATATAAGTAAATGGTGTTATGAGTGTTTTCTCTTCATTGTTCATTGCTCTTCCCTTTTTTCAAAGTGTTGATATGAGCGAGCTGATCGAGTATTGATGAGTCGAGCTATAGAAAATTAGATGTGAATTTTAAATTTCGTACTGAGGACTCATCTCGCTCGTCTAACGAGCTTTAAAAGAGCTTGAGCTCTGCACGTTACTCAAACGAGCAGTGTCGAGATGAGGTCGAGCCTTAACGAGCAACCAAACTCACTAACGACTCAGTTGTTAACAATTTTTAAGTGTGATTAACTTTTTCTTTTTTTCTTTCGGCTCTAAAGTCATGCATACTAAAATAATTTTAGGCTACAAAAACTGTCACGATACAGCTTAATTAATGAAGTTTACTGTTGGTAGTAGGTAGGGTCACAACACTTAAAGTGGGATCACAAGAATAACAAATTCATTCAAGATTTTAGAATTTAATTTAAGGATTCGGATCCACCTATGATTATCACATTAAATAAACAAAGACTGTTTTTAGATATGTTAGATCCATTTTGTACATTATTATTCTTTTTTTATTTAAAAACACGACTATTCAAATTGTGTAGTAGATAATGACTTCTTATAGGTAACACTATTTGCCAAAAATTAAGTATTTGAAGGGTGGATCTGTGCTGAGTGCTGACCACATAAAAATGGTATAAGAATATCTTGCCCTTGCGTTACTGGAATAACTTATGTGTCCCGCGCTTGAAATGGGGGTTTGGGGCTTATGAATTTGAGTGCTTGAAATCAAGCGTTACTCACTCGTAACCTTTGGAACATGCAAGACAAAAAAACACTCTTTGGTACAAGTGGATTCACAATGTATACTTGGGGGGAAAGTCCATTTAGAAATGGCAAATCCGCAAGGAGGACTTTCCACTCTTCAAATACCTCTCTGAGATCCGAAATGCCTAGGTTGCTAAGGTGGGGAATGAACAAGCCGCTCTCCTCCATCGTTGGAGCTTGCGTGGTAAGCATGATGGGATGAGACGTAGCTACGACTTCTTAAGGCCCCGAGGTACATGGTGCATTGGACGGGCGTTGTTTAAGACCCTTGTAACACCCCAAAACAGTCATTCATCCTTTGGTTGGGAGCGCACAATCGACTTCGAACAAAAGATCACCTAGATTTCCTTGCGATTGATCCGACTTGCTCTCTTTGCGGTACAACGGATGAATTTTTTAAGCACCTCTTCTTCAAATGTCCCTTTAGTTTGGAAATTTGGGATGTGATTCGTGATTGGATTAAACTTCATCATAGGCCATTAACTCTCAAGGGTGCTCTAAAATGGATCAAGAGGGAGGCTCAGGGGGCAAGTTGGCAAGCCAAGTTGAAGAAAGCGGCGCTTGCAGCTACCGTCTACTTCATTTGGAATGCCCGTAATAGGTCAATTTTTGAAAATGAAAATCAACCTAAGAGCCTTGTGATTCGTATTAAGATCAAAACTCATGTTTATTGTATTATATTTTCGATGTATCCGAATGTTCTTGCCGAAATGGAGAGGAAAGCCTGTGGGATTGGATTGGCCTAACCTCCATTTGAACCCTTATTTTGAGTTTTCTAAGGGTTTTCGCCTCCTATTATTTTGATTAGCGAGTGAGGAACTGAGTATGTGGTTATCCACTAAGCTTTTTGTTTGCCGTTTGACGGTCGTTGTAGCACCATTTTTTATTTATATAACTTTAATTTACCGATAAAGAAAAAAATAATAAATACAATCATTTTTAACTGAAGTCAACTGGAAAATCGACTACATTTTCAGTCATACTCTACTGATTTATTTTCACACACACAAAAAATAAATAAATAAATAAATAAAAATTGAAAAACAAAAACAAAAACTAGTAAGTGAAATCAACCTGCGTGCTTTTCAGGTTACAATCTAATGATGTTATATATATTTATATTTTATACAAAATTGCAATGGAAAATATATATTTTTTAAGAAAAAAACTGTTGGTACATTCTTTTGCTATTTTGTGCAGGTGATAAGCTAGGGCCTTTGGGCCAACACCACTTAAGGATCCAATGGGTCCAGAATATGAAATACAAATCAATGGGCCAACACCACTTAAGGATCCAATGGGTCCAGAATATGAAATACAAATCAATGGGCTCATTTTCCGTTTACTCGGGCTATAAATCATAAATCAGCCATACCACTCAAGTCCTCACGGCCCAAAACTTGTTCTTGTTGACACTAGCTTCAATTCAGTAGGTTTTCATGAATTTGGTAATTGTTTTTGGGGAACTAAAACTAAATTATACTTGTTTTGGGCAAATATAATTAGAATTTGAGAATATTTAATTACATAGACGTGTGTGAACTTCAACTAAGCTGGCCTGGTGGCCACATTTGGAGCTTCTTCTTCTGCTTTATGAAGCAAAAGTCGGTGGACGAAAGCACGAGTTTGGGTCCATAGTCTGTGGGCCTCATTTTCTTCATCTGCTAAGCCCGAGCATCGACTTTCGTTGCAGTCCGAGAAGTACTTTCCGCTGAGCCCACTTATCTTTGGGTAGCATGTCGTGGCCGCACCCTGCGAAATTACCGAAAAGTGCCCAAGTAATGAAATCTTGTTAGACTTGTTGTTCGACTTTCTTTGACATTGCATATGACATAAAAAACTTAAAGCTTGATTAGCAATACAATAACTTGAAACATTTGAGATTTAACCAAGCTTGTGGAGCTTCATTATATGAGAAAGAAGCTTGATATAGGTTGATGTTTTATGCTCGAAATAATTTGATAATAGAATCACAAACTTATCTTGTTTTTTGTTTCGTATAATGGGCATTTCTAAGTAATTGGAACTTATCTCATAAGTTTCTCTCGTCAACTTGTCAGAAAAGTGGTTTGAAAGGTAACACTTCCATTATATCAGCCAAGTTTTGGTTATCCAAAAGAGATATATATGATGGTAACGCAACATTTGCAGCACAATATGGAGATATATAAAGAAGACAAATTAAGTGTGCTGGGACGGGACATAACCAGTGTAGTCGATTTCAGCAACTTGGTCTTGGCCGCCACAAAATACAGAGAATCTGAGAAAAAGTACGTACAATTTTTTCTTTTTAACCAATAAGGAAACCGTATAAAGAAGCTGGTTTTTGTTTAGTTAAGCATAAACAAATGTGAAAAAGACATATGCAAAGTACATAACACAAATGAAGACAAAAACTAATCGAGAGTGGCCAAAAGTAAGAATATATATAGATATTTTTTTTTTTTTAAAAAAAAAGAAAGAAAAAGGCATGCCTGTAATAAAGCTTGTGTGATCCCTGATTATTCCAGTCTAGTCTTTATAATTCCTGGATGAACTGAGTTGATGCTTACGTTTGCTTTTCTTGCCTGTTATTTTCACATACATGCATAACAAATTACATAGGCCTCCTCATTGCAAGATTGGTCCACGGCTTAGCTAACAGTTTGGCCCCCTATAGATCTCTATATCTTATGTCAAACGGGGGCAAAACGAGTGCAGTCCCACACAAGTGAATCGCACCATAACCCCAAATGAAACTCAAGTAAGGTTTCATTCCAAAACCAATTGGTGGAAAGAGTGCACTAGGCTTATAAACTAAGCTCATTTACCCTATCAAATCAATGTGGGACAACTCACAAGTGATATGATTCCAACACAATATTAGCTGATATATTTGTTTTAAACGAAAATGAATATTTTTTAAGTAAGACATCTTAATATTTCAAAATATAAGTAAAATTTCTGTAAAGGCTCGAACTCGGCTCGGTTCAATAAGACTCGATAAGACGATTTTTACGTAGTTTTTTATAGTTCGGTTCGTTAAAGCTCGATTCCGGCTCATGAATATCAATAAATGAGCCGAGCTTGAGCTCGATTATGAGCTTGTTAAGGGCTCGATCTCGGCTCGTTTACACCCCTAAATGCCGCCTAATGCATAAACCCGATTTTTAGAGGACTGAGTTTTAGTGATCCTCAGATATTAGAAATAGGTTATTTTGTCAAGTTTGGATTTTGAATTTTGGATATAAAGAAACCTTTTTTCGGGTATGAATTTTACCTTGAGCTGTCTTGCTAATTCCTTGGCATGTAATATGTTGGCTAGCTTTGACTGAGCATAAGCATAAGTGCCATTATAACTGCACGAGGGACCGCCCATATATAATATAAACAACAGAGTTTTAACACTTCAGCAAAAGTAATTATGCAATGTCAGATTAAATATATATACATGTATACATAAAAATTTTCTGCTCATAATTAATTTGAAGGTATTTTTAATTTGATTCTTACATTTTAGGATTAAGCAATTCAGTGAAGCTAAAGTCTTTTGGGCTGACCCATTTATGAATTACTGAAGAGACATTGACAATTCTCCCTTGTATGCCACTTTCTGATGCTGTTTCCACCATTTTTTTCCAGCAGCATTTGTGTCAGCACAAAATGACCTTCCAAATACAAAAACAAAAGATGAATAAATAAATAAAAAGAAATATTTGAGAAAGGTCAAATTTTCAATTACCTAGGTAATTAGTGACAAAAGTTAGCTCAATTTTGTCACCTGAAAACTCCAATTTTGGTGAATATTTGCCAGCATTATTTCTGCAGCACAGTAATGAAAGTAAATAGAAATCTATCTGCCATTAGTTTTCATGCACCAAATTTTTATACTTGTTCACACACAAACCACTTCTTTTTGAGGGGACAAAGTAAAGTAAAAACAAAGAAACAAAATATAAAGTTTGTCGGTATCATCTCACAATAAGATGGTGACATAATTTCGAAGATAGAAAAAGTAATACTCTTTTATGCTTAAACAGTGAACTTGAGTGATAAATTATGCCTAAAAATGTAAATATTTGAATAAAAACAAGAAATAACATACATGAGAATATGAAGTGGTAGTCCTAAAGATGAGAACTCAGAAGAAAATCTCTGTATTGAATTAAGTGAGCTCAAGTCCATCTCTAGTGCAATTATTTCAGCTTTTGGACACTCTTTCTGTATGCTTTTCTTCAAATCATTGGCTTTTTTCAAATCCCTTGCCGGAATAATGATCCTCACGCCATTCATGGCGAGCACTCTTGCTGTTTCGGCACCTATGCCTGAAGTCGCGCCTTCTCAGATGAACAAAAGCTCAAGTTTCATCAACATCAACATCAACATACCCAGTATATTCCCAAACAAGTTGGGGTATGGGGGGTCAGTTGTACGCAGACCTTACCCTTGTAATTATGCAAGGAGGCTGTTTCCATAGCGACCCAAGGTGCGTTGCGTCGTTTGATATATTTTTTTTTCTAGAAACTTCACTAATAGAAGAAGCACTAGAATTTAATTGAGTCATTTTGATCTAGTCCATTTGCACTATGCCAGGAGAATTGTCAACAATGACTCTTCCAGCTCCATTTGCAATGGACATAACAAAAGCTCAAGTTTATCTTTAGAAATTAACATAATAAACTTAATTGTTTGTTAGGTTATTTGCAACGGATACAAAGGTTGTTGTTTATGTGTCTTAGCTGTTTGATTAATGGAGCATAACATAATAGATAAGATATGCAATACTATGTTTTACCACGAACGATTATTTATCATGAGAATTTCACGATAAGTAAAAATAAGGAAAAAATCTGCATTTCTTACCAGTGATAATTGCATTGAGCTGAGTTTTGGGCATTGAGAAGAAGCAATCTTGAGCAACTTTGTGAGCAGTTGTTTTAGAGCCATAACCACTGGGGCGTTTGATTCCCGCCAAATACTTTAGTGTTGCCTTCATGAGGGGCACTAAAGTTACAACTTTAAATTGTCACAATGGTGGAAATTCAAGCATATATATATATATAACTCACATCATATTTGCCCATTTCAAAATTTCATGCATCCATTGTATGTGACATATCTTCTAGCGCAAACTTTGCATTAGTTCTTCTTTAGGCCGACGTACTTTTTTCACAAATATTTATATTGTAATTGTAATATGCCATATTAAAAAAAAAATTAAAAAATTAAATGCAAGTATGACATTCAAATAAGTAGGCATTTTTATGGACAGACTGTCACTCCATTTACATATTAGGGTATGACATTTCATAATATGTATATGCATTTCATTAAAAAATATAAAGTGTCGATGAACCTAAAGGTTAGGCCAAAGCATATCAAAGTTTGTGTGAGTTTGGGCAGCCAAACAGACCCAAAGCAAATTCATATGCTATGTGCTAACTAATAGTTCTATTGTCACCATAATCCATTCCATTAATTAGGGCAGTTAGGTTAATTGTAAACAAATTTGGTGAAATAGAAGGGCACTAACAACCACCTATATATCTATCTGGGGTCCAAATGGCATCATTTATGTGTCCTCTTCATTTCCAAAATTTCTTCATTCAATTCATTAAAAGCTCAAAAGCACCATCCCCCCAGAAACTGACATTCTTTACAGTCAATCATTCACTTGCACAGTTTTATCTTAACATCCATACATGGATTAAAAGATCACATAAGTGATTAAAATAGTGTTTCAGTTAATGTAATGTCGCATAAGCTATTCTTAAACACTCGTGTATCATAAGAGAAGATAAACGACTGTTTTATTCTGAATAATCCTCGTTTTATATCGCATGTAATTTTGTCCTACCAACTTCACTGTGATTTGTATTATGATATCACAAGTCCGTAAGCGTGCTTTGTGCTCACTCAGAGATTCCTTGCAAAACTTCTCATCGGGTCATCTAAACTGTCATTTTTTTTTTCTCCAAAACAACCACACATCCCAAATTGTTCCAAATCGGCCACATTGAATCTTACGAATTTATATTAAATGCTCACCAGAAAAGGAAATGAATCTAATAGATATGGATTTTAATAAACATCACATGATGTTAGGCAATACATGCATCGTATAGATGAATTTGTGGTGTACGTATTTCAATACACCCTCCTTTTGTTTTTATGCAATATTACAACCATCTCTACATTATTCATTGGACTGTAAAATGATATCACACGACCTAAAATTTTGAAGAAATTCCAGTCCTGTGCTTGAGCTAGACAATCAATGGAAATCTTATCAGAGAAAAGAAAAAAACTGAAAACAAAATAATACGAGCAAGTGAATGCTGCTACTGCACAAGGTGTAGTATAGTCCAATATACTTCAAGGGGTTCAGTCTTGGAAATTCTGAGTTTCCTGTAAATTCAAACTTTGACCTTCGAATGGCATTTCAATACTCCACTTCATCTCTCCTCTTCTTTTTCCATTCTTTGATTCAAATTATTAACAAACACGAGTAAGTTCGTATGCATTTTTTCCATGTTGTAACGGAGGGAAAGTTTATATATACCATTCTTTCGCAAAACGGTGACTAACTGAACCCTACCAAAGTCAATCACGCATGCTTGAACAGTTTCATGCTCAACCAATGAAGATATACTGCGACAACAAGGATCGGAAGTGTCAAAGGTACCATGAAGCAATAATACCTGTCCACAGTCATATATCAAACTCTAATCTTCTGTTGTTATCTATGCAAGAATGTGAAACAACTGATTAATGCAGATGATTGGCTTTGTTTGTCTCAAATGAATGGCAGATATTCTGCTGAAACTAAATTCGCAAATAGTTCATGGTTTTAAACATAAATTAAAAAAAAAAGACAATCTCAACTAGTTAATCCCCAGAAAAAAAAAAAAAAAAAAAAAAAAAAAAAAATCATTAGTACTCAAGTGGAGCTACATAGCTCGTATATCGACAGACCAAGAAATTCAACTATGAGAAAATAACTGTCTCCATCAATACATAACTCTTTGCAATAATGATATGATACTAAAGAGAATAATTGAATAAACCAGAAGAAATGCACTACCAAGACAGTTGGATGTATTAGACCTGAATAATCAAAATATTTTGACAAAAACACATACCAATCGTTTTGTATAGCTCGGATTATCGCATTATCAGATGGAGGCTGAAGCTTTGATACAACGGCAGCATACACGAAACCCATAAATGAAAACGAGCCGATCATAAGAAAGAACCAGCCCCAGAAGATCCTCCCATTCGAAGCTGCAAATTGCGGACGACTAAGCATTTTATCCAGCCTTTCACATCATCTGTGCATAAAAGACGCATCTTTTTCATAATAATTCTCACATATCATTCATCAAGTTTGCATCTACTGCAAGTCTGCAAATGCCAACCAAGATCGATTTTTTCCCCACTCAAAACAGTAAAGGGTTGTGTTGATGACGTTTCAATTTCACACCTCATTGTCCTTTGAATTTACCACAAAAAAAGAACCAAAAAAGAAAATCGCGATTTTAACATCACAGACTGAAAATTAAACCTATATCTGACCCGCTAAAGCAGGATAAGAAGGGGACGAATATGAGATCTCGAGTTTTGAAGCTTCGCTACAGAAATTAACAATGGCAGCTAATGTCGATAACAAGCAGGAAAGTAAATGTACACCTGAAATTTCTGAATAGCTGCATAAGCTCGCCGGGGAGGGAGATGGAGAATCTGGCAACACGGGCGGCAAAAAAGGGGGCGACGGCGGCCGTGCGACCGTCTTTCACAGTCTCGCTTTTACTTTAGGAACGGGTTGAAATAAACGGATCCTTACCGGGTTTGGTCCCGGATCTCATATGAGAGGTCGCCCAGCTGGGCCAAATGTGGATTTGGACCGACTTTGAAACTTGGGTAACATTATCTATTCGTAACCCATGGCCCAAAATTAACTTGGATTGCTATTGGAAACATATTTTTTTTTCGGAAATTTTCATCTATCCTACAATATTTTGAAAATATTGCAAAAATACTATCATTAAACAAATAATTACATCATTACCTAATATGTAATAAATAACTACATTAATGACTGAAGTCAATTACCATATCCATTCAATCTTCATCCCCTTTTCATGGGCTTAATTAAGAGAGAGAAATAAAAAAAAAAATAACTGACTTATTTAGTTCCTTAATTAGCTCAGCTTGTACATTTTTTAATAGAGACAAATTAAAATGTGTATTGTAATTCGCGCAACCTTCATGTAGTATATTTTGCATATATGTTAGTATATATTCAGTATATGTTGCAATGAAAATTATGTCTTCTTGTTTTGTTTTGTTTTTTTTTNNNNTTACTTTTATACATAATTTGTATATATAGTTTTATAAACATATTATAAAATGTTACTTATATTTCTTATACAAAAAATTTTCTAATATGTTGAACATATATTGAATATACTGAACAATTTATAAAAAAATCTTCTAATATGCTGAACATATACTCCATATACACACAACATATACTGAACATTTTACAAAAACAAAAAAAAAATATTCTTATATACTGAACATATACTCCATATACACAACATATAATGAACATTTTACATAAGTTCTTCTAATATACTATAGATATATTGTAATCATAAACTAATTTGTAAAACGGAAAAATCGAAGCAAACAAATTGGCGACTAATTTCACTTCTTCAGGCTTCGGTTTTATCGAATACCGCACCACCATAGATTTCACATCTTCAGGCTTCACTTTATTATGAACGGACAAATACATCGAGCTTGGTACAATGGGCAATTACGATCAGGTGGCCATGGAAACTCGCCAAACTGAAAATCAAATCATCAACAATCAACATCTACACGTTTTTCATTTTCTATATGCATCTGTGTTGTGTTCCCAAACACAAAACATCAAATTAGATTGAGAACCCCCAAAACCCTCACAAAACAATGGGTATTGATAGATGAATCGAAACAGCGTACCCGATTCTCGTGGACTTGGTGGATGAAATCCTTGGCGACCTCGTCGGCTATCTCAAAGCAGAGTTGTTGATAGGTATAATCGAGTTGTTCTTCTTGTGGCTCGATAACACTTGCGGCGAAGATTGGTCTTCGTAGGAGGCGTAATTTGCCAGCAAAAAAATTCATGTAATTGTAGAAAAGGATAAGAATTAAACGATGATAATCGTGGGGAGTGATTTTCTTATATAGAAATCAATTTTGGTCAGACAAATCAATTCCTCATTAAATCTGCTACTACCATAAATAAAATATAACCATGATAAAGATAATATTGTAGTATATTTGCAAATAATTACGATAGTTTTAGTTATTTTGCAAATAAATATATATGACATGTAAATGTGTAATAAAAAGGTAATTGCGTAGTGGACCAATTTTTTTTTTTTTTTTGGTTGAGTCAATATATATTTATTAAAATTTAACATACAATACTATTTTTAAAGGATACATTAATTTTTAGTTCCGATATAATAACATTGTCGATTATTATTTTCGGAATTAAATATTTTCAGTCAAGATTGTCCGAAATTATTTTCGACGTTCCGTTTACGATCGGAATAATTTTGGTAATTAAATATTATGTCTAATAATTAATTAGGCATAATTTAGTGATTAATTAAAAATTAATCACGATTAAAGAAGTAAAAAGCCGTACCAATTGGGCTATTTTTCCCAATTTACCGTAGCTTTCCTTAAGCCAAAGGAAATAATTTTTCCTCTTCCTCAAGCAACTTAACGTGTCATTTTAGGGGACTTCATAAGATGACTAATCACTTTTTAGCCATTAAGCTATTAGCAAGTGTCAAGATATAGTGAGGACATCAAAACACTACATCATCCCCCTCATGTTCGGCCTTCTATTTATAGGGTTACTTGGGATGGAATTTTCCCCCACTATTCAGCATAAGAGAGAGCTTGAGAGAGTTAGAAAGATTAGATAAATTCTGAGTTCAGTTCAATAAAATCATGTCCGATCAGTTCATGTCATATCAGTTCCAGTTATACCGATTAAGTCCAAATATTATATCACGTTTAGTAGAGCATCTTAACATAATTAATCAGTTAAGTTATCAGTCTGAGCATAGGCATTAGTAATTGTTTATATTATATTTCAGTTTGATCAAGACACGAACATCAGCACTACCTTTATTTTCACGGATCAGGTGGGGACTCAGACTGGATATTACATTGATTATAATTACTCTACCATGTTTGAGGTATGTATTATCATGTCATGTATCCGCTTGGAATGGTCGCCGGTCCATTCTGGGCTTTAGTGGCCCTAGTCTGCCCACTAGAGTGTGCACATGGTCTCCGGCATTTTTTTATATGGCAGATGAGGTAACAGTCATGGTTCACGTTCACGTGATGATATCAGGTTCATGTTCATGTTATTACCGGTTTCATGTTCAGGTTATGTATATACCAGGATCATGATATTGTTATTATTTTCACTGTTTTACTTTAGTATGAGTTCTGCGGAGCACAATGTTTTAGTGCTCACGCCCCCACGTATTTCATGTTTTTCAGGTCACAGGGTCGGGGACGAGGAGTGAGCTGACGAGCTGTTCAGGACATTTTGTTATGTTTTGTTATGTATAAACTATGTTTTGGCCACGCTATATTTCCGCTATCATTTTCAGTACTTAAACTCAACTTTTGATCCGACGTTAGTCGGTTAACACGTTATAAACCGTTTTTATTATCAGTTTAAAAATTAACAGTTTTTCAGATATAAGTCAGATTTTCACGGTAGCACTCCGAATCAGTTTTCGCAAAATAAATATTTTATTAAGTGTATTCAGAAAATTTGCGAAAAATGCGTACTCTGATTTCAGTAAAATAGCGGGGTGTTACAATTGGTATCAAAAAATAGGCAAAAAAAATCCCACCTTTTCTAAAGTTGCAAAAAAAACTCTAACTTCTACAATTTAGCAAAATAATACCCAACCTTTTAAAATTTTTGCAATTGAGTCTCATAGTAAGTTTCCGGTCAATTAGTGTTGAGGTGGCTTATCGGAAAACTTACATGGCATCAGAACTTTGACGTGGAAAAAACGAAATAACACATAGGGAGGCCACGTAAGAAATTTTGACGTGGAAAAAACGAAATAACACTAAATCATTCGACAAGAAATTTTGCAAGAATCCAAAAAAAAAAGTCGAAATTCATATGTTCACAGTATTTGCTAACAAAATTTAACAGCATTGAAAAAGAAAAAAACAGAAAAAAGCACAAGAATGTCAACTCAAAAGAAAATAACTCAATCAATTACACAATTTAACACCGAAAGTCTATTTCCAAGACATGAAGCACCTCCTCAGATTGATTGTGAACAAAGACGAAATAACATGGAGAAAAATTTTAGGGTTTTCGAAAACAATTGGGGGAATTCAAAAACGAGGACGAAGAAAGATAATACCTGTTAGCGGCAGGAAGAATTCGGATGAAGAAGGAGAGGGGAACGATTTGCCGTGCGTGAAGAAGGTGGCGATTGAAGAGCGCAGATCGCAGGCCCCTGGGAATGAAGTTTTATGTTCTGCTTTCCCTTCTCTTCTGATTTTGTGCAGAGACCGATTGGGATTTGGAAAATTATCTCTTGAGTGTGATGTGGCCTTCCTATGTGTAAGTGAGATGACATAAAATCTTACGTGGCCTTCCTATGTGTTATTTTATTTTTTCCACGTCAAAGTTCTGATGCCATATAAGTTTTCCGATAAGCCACCTCAGCACTAATTGACCGGAAACTTACTCTGAGACTCAATTGCAAAAATTTTAAAAGGTTGGGTATTATTTTGCTAAATTGTAGAAGTTGAGTTTTTTTTGCAACTTTAGAAAAGGTGGGGTTTTTTTTTGCAATTAACCCTTTTTATATATTTTTCAATTAAAAAGTACTTCTCATCTATTCATATTATTTTTATCTATCAACTTTAATTATTATATATTTACCTCATAATTATTTACAAATTTGTTTTTTTTTTTTTTATATTTTTCACCTTACTTTTTTGGACAATACAATTTTTTACTACAATTTTTTTTTTCCACAAAATTTTTTATATCATCTTATCTCTATATATAAATGCCATCCCCTTGATTGGCACTCACAATTATTGCACAACAATCTTATTTTATTCAAAAATTTCTCTAAACAAACACTAATTAGCAGTTGTTTGTTTGTTTTCTTTCTAGCTAACCATCAATTGAAGCACGGGACATGCCGGTTCGCGTTTGGGGTAAAGAATTAATATCACTTCACTAGATAATAATAACAAAATCATCTAAAATTAATTTCATTACTTACGTTGAGTTTCATTTTTCCTATGCAATTGGGCTCTTGTGAAAAATCGAGAGGTTGCTAAGAAGATGACGGAATTTATCGCGCTTAATACGATTGGCGTGTCCAAACAGTCGCAGATTCGTGCAGCAAAGATCTTGCAATCTGTGGTCGAAAGCCACAAATTACACACGAAAGTCGAGTCATTTTTGGAGCATACGAGTTCGATCTCATCATGGCAGCAAGGTGGAAGAAGCTTCGTGATGTAATAAACGAGAGTGAGATCTTCGTGTTGCCTGAGTATTCTCCCGAGACGTGCAGCTTTAGTGGTCGTACATTTGCAACACAACCCGGTAAAATTTCTTCAAAAACAAGTCCATTTTGCGCTATTTTCGTACAAGACTGACTTTTTT